TAGAGGTAATCTTGTGGAAGTTAGGAAGGGAAGAGAGTCAAGAGAACTGCCAAAGCCCTTTTACTAGGCTTTGTATTCTGCAATATCATGGAATAATATGCACTGATTTTCCATACGTGCCTGGCACAAGTTTCCTTCATAGGTTCGCTTTTATTCACTTTTTGAGGTTAGAATGAGATGGTTTTTCAAAGTTTGATATTATAATGTTATCACAGTTGGAAATAGATGTCAACGTCAATCATTTTCTGATTTTGAAACAGATGAACATTACTTTAAAGGTAGAGACCACCGAGTGGACGGCAGCTGCTGTGTGGGCCAATGGCTCACACTTGTGTGGAGGAGAGAGTTATATTAAGTCCCGTTGGGTTTTACTCACAGAGGACAGGGATGAGTGGCTCTGATCGACAGTATTTTTTTTTTAAGTCAACTCCCAAAGATTTCTGACTATTTTAAAGTCACCATGTCTGTCATCACCAGAGAGGACACACTCACTCATGGCACACTTCTTGGCCTCATAGGGTGTATGTTCTACTTAACATTCTAAAACACGAAGTACACAAAGCCCAGCAAGAGGCCACTTCAGAGAAGGTGTGATTTCAAGGAGCACATACTCCAAGGTCTATGAAGAAGAGGGAAGGATGAGGAAGGAGAGATGATAAACACGTTCCCTTGTAAGGTCAGGTCAAGGATTAGCCTGTGCACCCACTCAACTGAATAAGAAAACTCCTGCAGTGCCATAGACTCACTGTTTCTGTCTCTCCCAAACTCACAGGAGGTCTGACAATTAAGTTTGCCAACTTGTTGCAACGATGTTGCTAACCTTTTTTTGATATCACAGGGATTATTCATTATGAATTTGTACAAACTGGATGAACAGTTAACCAAGTTTACTATTTGGAAGTGCTGAAATGGCTGCATGAAAAAGTTAGACGACCTGAACTTTTCACCAACAATTCATAGCGCTTGCATCACGACAATGCACCAGCTCACACGGCACTGTCTGTGAGGGAGTTTTTAGCCAGTAAACAAATAACTGTATTGGAACACCCTCCCTACTCACCTGATCTGGCCCACAATGACTTCTTCCTTTACCCAAAGATAAAGGAAATATTGAAAGGAAGACATTTTGATGACGTTCAGGACATTAATGGTAATATGATGACAGCTCAGATGGCCATTCCAGAAAAAGAGTTCCAAAATTGCTTTGAAGGGTGGACTAGGCACTGGCGTCGGTGCACAGCTTCCCAAAGGGAGGACTTCAAAGGTGATCATAGTGATATTCAGCCATGAGGATGAGTTCAAGAACTTAAGTATCACACCTTCGTATGATGAAATTCTAACCCCCCATGTGACGGTGTCAGGAGGTGGGGCCTTTGGGATTAATGACACTATAAGAGGCAGCAGAGAGCTCCCTTAGCTGCGTGAAGACACAGCGAGAGGACAGCCATCTCTGAGCCCGGAAGAGGGCCTCGTTAGACGTGGAGTTTGCCAGCACCTTCATTCACACCTCCCAGCCTCCAGAAGCATAAGAAACAAGTATCTGCTGTTTCTGAGACACCTAGTCTATGGCGTTATCCCAGCGGCCCAGACGGAGTGAGACACAGCGGGGACGACTGCAAGAGGTGCAGGGCCAGAAACGTAGTTTGCAGTCGAATTGTCGCAGTCCTTGAATATCAGCATCAAGTTCACTAGAAACGTTCATCTCACTGGCGAAACAGAAGGGAGCTAGGGCTGTGGCGAATGTTTCAGAATTAGGGAGGGGCAGCCTAGGGCAGGAACGCCACTCTGCTGGTCAGCCAATGTGCGTGGGCCGCCGACAACCTACCACAGAACAGAGGCCTTCGTTGGGGCGGTTTCTGTAAGGCCCAAAACAGGCTGTGGTGAAGGAAGGGGTGTTGCAAATCCAAACGTTTAGGGATTGATGACGACGTGGCTGGAGCTCTGTGGAGACCAGAGGAGCAAGAGACGGAGCAGAGGCAATGAACACCAGAGCTTCTACAAACAGCAATAACATGGCAGCTCATAGAAACCAGTGGATTTAAATCCAAGTCACTCCAAGAACAGTTTTCTATTTCTAATTTTGAGTCACATCTTTTTTTCTTGTGCTTATGAGAAGTCTTAATTTACCTCTCAAATCTACATGTTAAAATTTAATTTACTGATAGAGGCACAAATCACATACGTGTTTGTGTTTTTTTAAATATAATAAACCCAAGATGATAACATTAATTGTGCATTTTTTTTCCTTTAAAGGTGTTTGTTCAAATAGGATAAATATTATGTTCTTCAGTGAAGATCAAGTCACAATGTAAACATCAATAATTCTAACCTCCCAATTCTATGTTTTGTTAGTTGGGGATTAAATATAAATGAAGCTTATGCTATATAGAAAAAACAATTCTCTATTTCCTTATAATATTTAAAATGCTCATGTTGTTTCATAAAACAGCTATTTCATTTTTGTTGGTGCACATTTCGATCTACGGAAAAGCGCTTTAGAACAGCAGTAAAACCACAGCAGACCGTGACAATCTAAGTAATAGCTTTTGTGACAGCTCAGTGGACCAGCAGCTCACACACATCAGTCCTCTCACAGACGTACCCTGGGTGTGAATTCCAGAGCTGCCGTAAGTGTTGTGAGTTAATTGTGTTCAAGAAGCAAACAACATTCCAAGGTATAATGGCAAACAAATCGCATTCAAGTCTCCCATTGATTAGAATTCGATACTATTTATAACTTCTCTGCCGGGCAACTAGTGTTGAAATGCTGCGGTCTTGTCATGTGTTTGCTATGACACTAATATTCCTATTTCACATCATTCTTCCTTTAAACTGTTGTGAGTGAAGTTCAGCAGCTCTGGCAGTCCTTAGAGGAGCTCTGATTCTGATAGGCTTCACCTGCTTGTGTTAAAATACCTAGAACCGTGACTTTGGGGTCCAGAACAGTTCCCACGCACAGTACGCCCAAACCAAAAGGCATTCGGGGTGTGGAAATAGGATTTTGTACAATTTAGTACAGAGATGAGAGCACCTTCCTTACCTTCAGAACAAGAACAGGCAGAAATGTGATGTATTTGTTCTCTGTCTCAAATGAAAGCTATAGGCAACTGGGTAATTTATACGAACCCAAGCAGCCTCCTTCTAATCAGCCCTCGTGGCATCCTCTAGTAAAACTGAGTAAAGGAATCATGATGTCATCCATGTAACTCACCAATATTTATGAAGCTCCTGAGACACAGGGATCAATTTATATGCCATCCACTGGGACCTCAAAATAGAGTACAATGAATCTAATGGTCTAACCTTAATATTTGCACTGCAAGTTCTGTTATCACACCAAAAATGGCAGGGAGGCTGTTTTATAACCTTAAAGTTATTAACATATAAAGTGATCATAGTATCACCATAAGAATATAAGATAGTAAATTATTTAAAGTCAGGTAGTTAATCAAATTAATATTTAAGACAGTTTTCCTTCAGAATAGGATAGAATTATAGGAAATGACAATATGGATAGAGAAGTATTTTTTTAAGAGTACATACTTAAGAGGCACTTTTTAAAACTGGAAAAAGACAGAATGACTTTTAACACGGAGCCATATGCCTTGATTTTTGAATAAAATAGATTCTCTCTTGTTTTTTTTTTGTCATAACTTTTTGCTGTCTCTATTATAATTCTTTCTATATTACAACATATCACTTTTCCCTAAAAGCATCATTTATTGGGAATAAAAACTTATAAATAATTAGTATTTAGAAGAGCAGGAATGAGAAATCTTGCATCAAATTAGCAAGGATTGCATGTGTAGATATCATGTCCCAGCATCCAAATGTAGGACCATTCATGTTAGATGAAGAGAGAGGAAGTTTTCCTAATCCATAAATGAGGCAGCCTTGTGCAATATGTGACAGAAACAGAAACAGAAAATGTTTCTAAACACAGACAACAAACATTATAGGTGACCCGGAGGAAACTAGATGCTTTACATTTGCAAGTAAAATATATTTTGAATATATTAATACATTTAGTATATGAACTATATAGTCACTCTGTTTATATATTAACTAGATGTACAAATAGAATTGTATGTTTTTATAGTTAGAGGTTTTTCTCAATACACAAAGTCATGAGTAAAACATGGTTTGCACATATAACTGCTAAACATTAGCATCTATACCATTTTATTCATCTAAACACTACAATTCCTTCTGCCTACTGTGAAACTTTCTGCAAGACTATACATTCAACAAATTTAATCTCTAATTACTGCAGAATTTTAAAACCAGAGGAAAAAGCCTTATTTGCCATATATGTATATATTTAAATATGTACATCAGTTGAGCTAAGAAATTCCAGTTGCCTTGAAAGGGATATACCACTTTCTTTTGCCAAATTAAAAAAAAAAATGGACATAGTTGTATGGATGCAATTTATTTTTTAATGTTGATAAATGAAAAAACATAACTTAAAACCATCCAGGAAATACTTTTCTTTCTCCATGGTAAAAATCATACATCAACAGAGAAAACTAATAGGGAACAGAATAGGTTGTGATTTTATAAAACAAAACTCCAAACAGTGCAATATCCTTTCATGTTTTTACCCCACCCACCTTCTGAGTTCTTGTTATTGAATGTTTTCTCTAACAATATAAAGCTTGCTTTTGTTGTTCTCTGAATTGTGCTCATGCATTTATCATTGTGCTTTTTCTGTCAAATCCACAGTTGCTTAAAAACAATGGTGTATTATAATTGCCTTGACAACACAGATATTGAACAATTCGATGTCTATAAATGAACTTAATGATTGTTTTCAATAAGAAGTTGTTTTTAACTATTGAAAAAATGGGGCAGAAATCTGCAGCCTTTACTTTTTCTTTACAGCAACTAAAATTTCTTTTCTGATAATGAAATTCAAATATGAATTTCCAATAAGCTTCAGAATCTGAGCGGGTCAACCAGTGCCCCCTAATCGATAATATGAAGAGCCAATGCTTTACCTCACTTTCAGGTTCCCTTGTTGGAGCTGTCCGTCGTAAACTGATAAAATGTCAAAATCTTCTTCCAGAGCAAAGGTGTGAAAAGACAGCTGTATCCGATTGCGTTCACCGGTGACCACGATCCAGGTGCAGTTGGCATAGTTTGGATAACCATGAGGGAACCCTGGGCTCTCGATGGTGCCGTTGGGACCCTGGACTAAGCCGCCACAGTTCTGACCTGAAAAAGGAAACAACAAAAAAATAGCCTATTATTTTGGCTATCTTTAAACTGTGATTTTTTTTTTCAATTTTCCAACCATGTTGGTCAATTTCTATGATGGCTTATTTTGTGATCCCTTCATGCACAGATATTGAATGATAAAGAGCAACAGTGTTCTCCAGTGCTGAAAGATAGAGAATAACAAAAACCAAAAAAAAAAAAAGGAAAAAGAAAGAACATATGCAACATTTGGAAACTCTTCTCAGAAATTTGGGGAAATTTTTTGATTTTTCAAATACAGCTCCTTTGATGTCAGCCTGCCATACTTGTGAACCATAGTATAGTATCATGTTGAAACACGGCCCATAGTGCCTTGCGGGGGAGGGGGAGGACAAAATTGACAGGTAAATAACTGAACAAAAAGTATGCACTCCCAGGCACATATCACTATATCTAAATGGCTGCAATCTGAGGTATTACGAATGATTAGGATAAGCCACAGGCAATATTTAAACTATCACCTATGCTGACTAAACTCCCGCAAAGCCCAAGAATAAAACAAGACCGCAGGACTCTTATCCAATTTAAAATAAAAAATGTAAAACAAGAGAAATCAAATTATCCAAAAATGAAGGAGCAGCCCAGGAAAATAAGGGACCAGTCCTGGGTGACAGTCTCCCCTGCGTCCATGGGTGGAGTTACTGTCTGAAGCGGAAGGGAGAGGCTTATCCACATGGCGGTGCCCTGAGAGAAAAGGCCGAGTCAGGCCTGGATGAGACACACTCGCTTCCCTACACAGGTGCACAGGACACGCCACACTCTGCTCACCTCTGATTCTGACTTCCGTAAGACAGGTGGAGTGAGGATTGCTTGTGTTCAATAGGACACGTGTGATATTGTGATTGATAAAGAAATATATATTTGGTCTTATCCTCTTTGACACACAGCTCCTAAAACCCCATAGGCTTCCCTTAGGGATAAAAGCAATAAAGGTGTCTTTTGTTAGGTTAATGAGGTGACTTTGAGAACTCGCCTAACTAGACGGGTGCTGGATGTCAGCGGAGCTAACTGTCACTAGAGGGTTGGAACTTGCCCTGAGCTCTGGAAAGAGCGGGGATGGAGGGTGAACCGTCACCAACGGCCCATGACTCAGCTCCTCACGCCTGTGGAATGAAGAAGCCTGCATAAAATCCCAAAAGAACAGGCTCCAAGAGCTTCCGAGTTGATGAGCAGGTGAAGTTGTGGGGCTAGGGGCACACTTCCCCAGATCTTGCCCCATAGCTCTTCATCCATGTCCTTTAATATTCCTTGTCATGAACCAGTAATCTAGTGAGGGAATGGGTTCCCTGATCTCTGTGAGCTGCTGAAGCAAATCAGTGACACCCAAGGAGAGGGTCAGAGGAACCTCTGATGTCTAACCTGTTGGTCAGAAGCACAGGTCACAACCTGGGCTTGTGATCAGCATGGGACGTGCAGGGCAGTCTTGTGGGACTGAGCCCTTTCCCTGTGGAATGTCATGCTATCTCCTTGCAGACGGTGCCAGAACTGAAGTGAACCGTAGGGCACCCAGCTCGTGTCCTGAGCATTGCTTGTTGGTTGGTGTAGGGAAGTCTCCCCACACCCCACAGGGGAATCGGGTGCAGAACCCAAATAACAGGATAATGGGGAAAGATGGGAGGGGCAGCTGTGCACCCCAAAGCCACCTTAGCCACTGGGCAGGTGAGAGCCATGGGGTGAGTGGGGGATTGTCCCCAGTAGCTGGCCCCAGGCTGCCCGTTCCTTGGGATTCTGTGGTATTGACACTAACATCGGGCTTTCTCAGATTTCGAGAGCAGTCCCGAGGAGCAGGACCCCAGGATTCCCACAAGGACCTTCTGCCGAAAGAACAGTCCTGGAGGTCAGTAACAGTCACACACTGGACCCACCAATTGTGCTTCTACCATGAGACAAACTCCGAACACCTCTGTTCCCACCTCACCCATCTGCCTCTGCCTCTTTTCATCCTTCGTCCACCCTTTTGCTTCCTGCTCTCTGCTCATCTGTTCCTCCCACTGCCTCTTCCCAGGTACTACTTCTTGTATGTCAGCCTTTCGGCACAGGCTCACCTGGTCCCTGCTTTGTTTAGAGGTGTTCTGTTCCGTTACCTCCCAATGTGCCTGTCAGGGCTGTGCCTGGTCTCCCAGACCAGTGAGGAGCACTCGAGGCTGCCATCAGGACAGGTGGGTTATGTGGACTTCCCTAATGAATGCACATTAATCATTTTAACTACAGATATTACCATCATGTGAGGGGACAAAGTAGCTCCTATCGAATCATTCCAACATTTAATTTGTCTGAGGTTAGCTATTCAGCAGCCCCTGAAAACTGTTCTATTCTTTCTTAATCTGGCTATTTCCCACCACTAGGTTTAAATAAACTTAAATGCTTTGATAGTAAGGATATTAAGAACATTTTGGAGGGACCTGGGCACACTCGGAGTACCGCCTATAGTGTAAGTACTTGAATACAAGCATTATCCCAACTTTCATTATTGAACTATAAACAGAACATTATTTTCAACTACATTTTACACTTTAAAAAATATTTCACAATAGTCACTCTTGGTGAGCTCAAATTGTTCACAGTAATATTATCAAATGCTGTGGGAGTTTGCTAAATCCTAATAAAAAAGATTTAATGAAAGGGATTTATGAGTTTAAAACCAAAGGACTAATAAGAGGCCCATTTTTCCACTAAATTTAAATCTAACAATAACACTGTAACAAGTAGATATTAAAGCTGTGGGATTTTGAAAGGTCTTTAAAGAAAAATAGTTTATCTGGTTTATCTAGCAATTTTTGTAAATCAAAAAGTGAAGACTTGATTATAACTTGGAGGAAAAAAAAAAACTCACCAGAAAACAAAAATATCAACTAGGAAGTAGTTATCATTACAGACCCATCATGGTTACCGGGTTATCAGATACTAAGATATTCTCCAAGGAATAACATTTAGGCCATTTGCACACCAATTAGTACAGAGTGTTTTGCAAAAGGACTCACATTTGATCAGCAGATAGACTTTTCCACCGGGCCTGTTGGAACCTTTGGGAACTGCTCAAAAGTTCTCAGACAAGTGACCCTCAAGCTTGGCTGCACATCGCAATCAACTGAGGGGTTTTACAAGTACCTAGTTCTGAGATAGATTCTGCTGTAGACGGTCTGGGCCTGAAATATCCACGACAGTCTTGAAGAAGAACAAACTTGGAGGTCGTAGGCTCCTTAATATCACACTGTATTACAAAGCTATAGTAATTCAGGTAGTATTTAGTTGATGCCAACCTAGATAAAGAGCCAATGGAAGAGAAAAGAAAGCCCCCAAACAAGCCCACCGAGATATAGACATTAGATTGATGACAAGGGTAAAAATGGGAAAAGAATGGTGTTTTCCGTGGATGGTGCCAGGACAATTAGAGATCCAAATGGGAAAAGTGAATCTTATCTCTACTTTATAATATGCACAGACATCGGTTCCAGATGAACTGCAGACCTAACTGTAAATGGCAAGTAATAACCCTTCCAGGTGGAAACCACGTAGAAAGAATAACTGTGTGTTAAACAAGATTTATTAAATAGAACATACAAGTAACAATCATAAAAGGAAAGAGTGAAAAGGAATTCCAAAAAGTAGGATGCATTTGCAAGACATATATTCAACAAAGGACATATTTGTAATATAATGAAGAAACCTCACAAACCAGTAAGGAAAAGGCAACACAACAGAAAGGCAACGACCAAAGGCAGCTGGAGATTCAGAATCAGAGGAGAGTTTTTCCAAAATTGGAAAGAGATACACGTATCATAAAGTGGGAATGACTTAACAGTCCTGACTGTCACCTTGTCCCCTGGGCCAGGGCCTAGCTGTGTTTACACCTGTCCCGGAGGTGTAAGGAAATAGACTTTTGCTCTAAAAGAAAACAAAAACTGATTTATTTGATCTTTCTTTGTAGACACAACAAGCCCACCTTGCAACTTTTGTTCACTCCATACAACTTTTGGTCCCACTAGGAAAATATGAACTTGCTCGCAATTTAGTCAGTATCTTCCACCCCATGACAATATCTCGGTGGTAAAAAAAAAAAAAAAAAAGAGCCATATGAAAATAATCATTTCTCTAAGCAATAGTGCTACAAGGGTATTGACTATAGTCCCCCAGAGTAAGCAGTATTGACTAAAATCCTGTACCAACACTGAACTGAAGGATACTTCCTCAATAACAATTACCTCAAAGCTGTAAAACCCCACCATCATTTGGGCCTATGTAAGATTTTTTTTTTAATTTTTTTATTGTTAGTTTCAGGTGTACAGAACAATGCAATAGTTATCCTTTTCACCCTCACAAAGTAACAACCCCCCTCCCCCCATCTATTGCCCCCCCCAATATCATGCTTATCTATTACAATTCCATTGACTCCATTCCCACTCTCTACTCCACATCCCGTGACGATATGTATATATAATTATAGATGACATACAATATTATTCAACATCAGCTTCAGAAATACAGTGTGGTGGTCAGGTCTCTACACCGACTATGAAGTGGTCTCCCCAACAAGACATGAGTCCATCTGGCCCCCTAAGAAATATTTACATTATTGATTATATTCCTCAGACTGTCTTTTTCTATCCCTGAGGCCATATTGTAATTACCAATTTGTATTGTCTCATCCCTTCCCCTTCTCCTTCATCCCCACCCCCTCCCAGCTAACAACCCTCAGTTCTTCCTCTGTGTCTCTGAGACTATTCTCCATCCACTTCTCCCATCCATTCAGTTCCTTAGAATCCACGTATAAGTGAGATTGGGCCCATGTAAGATTCATGCTTCCTAGCACACCCACAAAAATAAAGCCTGCTGCCATTTAAAATTAAGTGAAAATTGTTCTCTCAATGGAAATCCCAGGGTGTAAAGTGATTAAAATTAGTGAATGCAAATAATGAACAGGTTAGATCCTTCCTCGATACCAGAATGTAATCCAGATA